GACAACAGGAAGAATTAAGCCTTATAAATATATTTTTCTATTAAATAGGAAAAGTGGAATAGAACGTCGCCTAATCAAAGCATATTCAAACTTGTAAAAAATAATTATGAATTCTGTGAATGTAATTACATGATTAAAAATATGAATAACAGGTTGAATTTGTTGTATTTTGCTAACATTTAGCTGATTAGAAACAAGCCCTTAATGTAAGTTAATTCTCTTAAATAGTATAACAAGAGACAGTTCAAGAATTAGTCGTATTTTCCAACTATTTTGACTGTGTTGTCATTAAACACGAAATAAAAATTTTAAAGGCAACGATGATGATTATGTCCAGGCCCCCAATCGATTTGTATGCCCCACACGCAATCCCCACAATCCAATCAATGGACAAACCCTCGTAATAAAAATGTATGCAGTAAAAAATAAGTTAATTAAATGAGTGAGAAAGCAATTTTGAGCGCGGAACGAAAAGGAATGGAACAGCGCGTGCTGTAGGAACTGTTTGTCACACATTTATTACCCGACGTTGTCGTCGTCGTGTGGCTTCTTGGCCAGCTTTTTGTATCCAACCGACGACATGTTTACGTCGGATATCGTTATTTTTACTCTTTTATTTGGATCGACTGCCACTGCCGCCTTTCCTTTCCTTTCCCTTCAATTTTACTCCATTGCATTATACTCGATTCGATTCCGTATCATCCCCGTCCACCCGTCCAGCCAACCTGCTTTGTCATTATTATTGAACGTATTATTTTATTGCAAATTGAAGTAAAAAATGTTAATTGAACGATAACAACAATGCGACAACGTCATCAGGTTCTTTTATTGCGAGTATACGTATCTATATTGTGTGGGAATAAAGTGCGTATAGCGTATATAATTCAATCGTTTTACACAATCATTTCTTATTAAACACCTTTTTTTATTTGGTGAGACCTTATCATATTCATAAATTCAGTTAATGAACTTTTTGATTGCTTAAAATTTAAATTATAGAAATCAATCAAGCAATTTTATGTCACCAATATTCACACATGACCGGAAATTGTTGCAGTTGCCGAGTTATGAAACTCCGTGTACTCACAAAACGGACTGGCATTTTTGGTTGATGTTATTGTCATTATTATATGAGGTTGCAATGGTTTTTGTGCCATTGACCGTAATTCGCTTGTTTTTTAATAAATATACATATAAAAATCACATTCTTTACAATCACATTGCATTTCTAGTTACCCAAAAATGCCAAAATCCTTAATTCACCTCCAAAAATGAGCGTGAGAAATCGCCTGGGGCAACTTCCTCCTACTCTTAGTCGTATTATTTTTTTCAGCTCGTCATTGGCGTTATAATAATACAACGACTAAATACATCAAGACGTGCAAATATGTTAAAGATCCCCCGTTCTGATCCTAAGCACTGAAGAAACTAACTAAGGAGGGAGGACCCCAGTGCTGGGGAACGCGTGGGCACGTATTGACTATACATAAGTCAGCTGACTCCAATGAAAATGGCACACGCAGCGCCTGCGTTGGAAAGAGACGGGGCTCACGGAGATTATAGGCGACAACAACTGCATTTAACAAGATCGAGTCGGTTTTGATAATGAGCAGAGACTAAAGAAGAAAGAGGCTGGCAGGAGAAGAAGAAGATGCTAGAGACGAAGAAGAGCACAAGCTTAAAACGTGAGCACACGGTACAAATAAACTCATTGAAATCATTCAACAAATTCAGTTACTTTCTTATCTCAATCACTGTTGGGCGCCATTTTTAGGTCGCGAGATCATGATATTTAAAGTTACAAATTTAAATGTATTTATTGTGGGATTTTTTTTTAAATATAAGATTATAAACCAATGATTATACAGGAATAACATTATTTCGTAATGTTAATAGTAATAATAATATTATTAGTATGTTTTGGTATGCAGTTTTGGCCCCCAAAAATAAAAATAAATTCAAACTAAGGCAAAGCTCCTTATCGCAGAGCTTTTCGCGGAAAAAGCTCCCTCGATTGTTCTCTTCCTCCCCCTTTGCCCCCATCACCTTCTTCTTTCGTTATACATTCCGTCCCGTCTGCCTTGAACCATTGACACATTTAAGGCGTGGGCGGAGCAGTGAAAGAGCGTGGAAGAGAGGAAGAAAGGCGAGCTTAAGAGAGAGAGAAAAGTGATCGTCATATTAAAAAGCAAGCTATTTGCCTTAAAAATAAATTACTTCAAAATCGCACAAGACAAATGTAAAATGAGAAATGCCAGGGCATGGAAGGGAATGATAAAAAACGGGAATAGAAGGGGTAGGTAAGAGGAGAATGGGGAAAAGGGCGAAAGGCGAAGCACCAGAAAAATCAACAAACAAAAAAGCCAGGCGAAACAAACGAAGAAAATTAGCAAATGCTACAACATGTGTTAGTGTGTGTGTGCAAATATTTCTTCGTCTGCGCTATTTTTATAAAAAGAAAAAAATGTTGAAGAAAAAGAAACATAAAAAAAATAAAAATAAAAAGAATAAGAAAAAACAAAAAAACTAAAGCGAAAGAGCGTGCAAGCGCAAAAGCAACAACAACATGAAGTTACTTCGAATACAACGTTTCGCCTTTGGGGGGCACTCGAAGAAGCAGAAAGAGAAGCCGAAGCTGAAGAACGGGGAGGAGCAAAGGAGTAGAGGTTTACGCCGATGGTTAAAGGCATCGGCGGCGGCGTAGAGGTCAAAATGACTCGGCGGCGGCGGCGTAGTAGTCAGAAAGAACCGGCGGCGGCGGCGCGTCAAATAAGGCAAAAAGGCCATTTTAATGAGTTATTTATTTTTTTAAAGTTTTATAAAGAACAATGACACTGAAGGCCGCGCTGAAGCTGCGCCGATGCCGCACCAGCGGCGCGCCGCGGCGCGCCGTTATTTTCATAATTTGGCGGCGGCGCGTCAAATAAGGCAAAAATCGGCGGCGGCGGCGGCGTGGCGCGGCGGCGTATATGTCTACAAAGGAGGAGGAGCTCAGCCGGCACAGTTCATGCGAATTTTTTTTGGGAATTTTCCACTGGCAACGCGACAGCAGCAGCAGCAACAACGTTAATAATTCACTTTTGGCCCAGACCACCATTAACAGCAGCGGTCATATCAATAGTCACAAAGACTCATATGCACAGATTTTCATCACATTAAAGCACTTTCGCCCTTGATAGCACCTATTTACTCTAGAATTTCTCAAATCCTAGTCATTCTATTGTGCTAACCCAAGGAACACGTTCACACTGATCTAATAAGCAAACGTCTTGGTCACACATAGCTAGCTAATCCCCCTAAAATTGATCTATGAAGTATATTTCTTAGCCTAATGCCTAATAACATAACTTGAAACATTAAGGAATCATCTATAATAAAATATCAGAAGCAAATATGTAAGGGGAATAAAAAGTTGCCAAAACTCTAAATTGGATTTGGGAAGAAAGAGAAAGAAGTGTATAATATTTATTTACGGAAATTACCCATGATAAAAAATACACGATTAATTAGCACGCATTTGACAAATTTTACTATACAAATTTCGTTGCTAAGGCCGAGTGTATTTTTTACAGAAAACTGAGGCGGCTTTCAGTTCTCCGGGCCCATCTGGAATATCGCAATAGCAGGGTATCTATTTTCTTGGCTAATGCAGTGTTTTCCCTGACATCGGTTAGAGCAGCAGGAGCAGAGGCGCATATTTCAACATTGTCGCCAATAAGGAATTGCATGCACGTACTGCAACCGACTCAAACCAAACACCGCCACCACTCCCGCCTCCCCACCACGAATACTCATTGAAGAACTTTTGCCCATAAAAGCAAATGTTGATCAGTGGAATGGGGCGGATGGAGGGAGAGGGGCAGGAAGGGGTTGTGGAGGCGGGGGAAGAGGAAGAGAGAGAGAGAGCCACCAACACCAATTAGCGCGCAGACGCAGCGGAGCAACAACAGTAACAAACTGCACTGAAAACTATGGTTTTCTTCCCAATATAGTAGTTTCTACTTTTAACATGTTCCAATATATTACTATACTAATTATTATTTATCATATAATATATAAAGGTAGCCTCAGAACGATGATATGAACGTTTCAAGTTTACAAAATGAAGAGATCTCCCTTTTGTGCACCGAGTGCACTTAAAGTTCCGAAGTACGAATTCGGTGAACCCTTTTAATACCCAATCCGACAAAACGACTTTGATCTAACCATAAAACAATCTTTAAGCGTTTTCCAAAGTATCCAATAAATATTTCAAAAGTGGCAACCCGTTGAATACTTCCCACTTGAAACTAAACCCTCCCGTTTTTTAAAGTGTAGAGCACAAACAGTAACAACAACGATACACAAAAAGAAGAAACAGGTTTGAAGACGACGACGCCGCCGCCGTCGCTGCTTTGCTTCGCCACTTGTTGTGTGCCTCACAGGAGGGAAAGAGGGAGGACGCGAGGGCACCAGAGAGCGAGACGGGGATATTGCAAAAACTTTTCCATTGATGAATTTTTAGCCACTTCTTCTTCTTCGTCTTCGTATTCGTTTTGTAGTGAAGATGCATGGTGCACGTTTGTGTGTGTGTGCGCGCCCGCGTATGACAAGTGTTTTTAATAAGAGCCGACGAAAAATGGCTTAAAAAAGCTTTCTAGAACATTCTCTTCTGTGCTGCTAAAAATAATTCCCCGAACTATAAATACAAACATAAATACATAGCAAGCTTGGCGTTACGCAAAAGTGTGCGTGTGCGCGGGCGCTTGTATAAGTGTTATCCGTCAAGTTAAAGTTAAAGTTGCCAAATTTCACAATTCCCCGAAATGAACTCCAATTAGATGGAGATTCCATCCATCGGATTCATTCATTTAAAGCTCCACTTTTGTATTTCTCCCTCTTCTCTCTATATTTTGCCTTCAACGGTGTAACGGTGTCAGTAGAAAAGGCAGCAAAAACAACAATGGGGCAACTAATTGGATTTCAATGCATATTGATTTCGATTTTTGGGGACACATTACACTGCACTAAACACACGGTCGACACACAAAAAAAAGAAGAAATAATCGGTCGCGTCACGAATTTGTTTCACTTTTGTTTCTCCTTTTGTTTTTATTTTTATTTTTATAATTATTTTCTTGCTTGCTTGCTGATAAAATCACAAGTAAATAAAGCCAGCGGAACGCGAAATCGAACGGGGAACGCCCGAATGAAACGGGATGAAACGAGGGGAGAGTACGACGCCGCCTGTTCGATGGATTCAACGCGAGTGAGCGAGGCGAAACATCGGCATCCACATCACATTCACACCGCTATCGCCAACGACGCTGGCAGCGCAGCAGCTGCGACGCCGCCGTCTACAGCACCGTTCAAGATAATATAATCTCTAACCTTATATACATTTTTTTATACATACAAACTGCTGAAAATATCGTCTAAATAACGCCATACATCGCCGATATTTTTAATAATTTTTAACTTTAACTTCTCTTCCTGATTTTAAGTTTGTACAGTTTAGCAACAAAGCTTTGATTAAACAAAAAAAATTTTGCTATTTTATTTTATTATTTACGATAGTTTTATGATATTGGAAACGATAAACAAAATTAATCCCCAACCTTCTTAAAACAAAAGAATAAGAATATTATAAGATTCCGACAACTATTTTGTTTTTCTTGAAACTAGTTTATTGAGCGCTGATGTAAAAGTATCGGAGCATTGAACGTTGCGAACAACCGCAAAATTGATCGCCACATGGAAAGAGAGCAGCATAGAAGTGACGGAGAGAGAAAGAGAGAGTGCGGAAGAGTGGGGGCAAAGGAGAGAGAGCGCACGCTAAAGAATTTCTAGTCAACGGAAAGCTTATTTGCATGCGATGCGTGTGTTTACCACACATGTATGGATGTATGAGTGTGTGAGTGCTGCACCGGAATCTCGTGTGTCGGCTTATGCAAAAATTAGGTAACCGAGACAGAGGCAACACAAGAAAGTGGAAGAGAGAGGAGACGCGATGAATCAACACACAAATAGCAAGCAAGCGAACAGAAAGAGAGCGAGAGAGAGTGGGTGGCAAGGCCTTGCGTGGCACAGTTAATGCCGAAAGCCCCCGAAAATGCAGCCAAGAGGTAAAAACAAAAAGTATCGTTTGATTAACAAGCGCCGCCCAAAAGTATGCAAAGGCAAGAGCCAAGGCTATCACGCCTTTTATAAAGGCCATGCCCCCACAGGGTTTCTATTTAGTTACCTTCAAGGATAAAAGGACTTAAATATAAACAAAATATACTTCTTGGTTAAACGTATCTTTGAAATAACTTGAAATGTTTCAAAGAAAATACGTCTTCAATTAACGGACTAAAACGTACATTTTAACATAATATTTAACAAACTAATATTTATTTAAATCTTTAATAAGTTGAGTATTTTAAATCATCATAAGTCTTCAAAAAAGAATTTTGCACATATGGATAATTAACAACAATTTAAGCATATTTTTAACAGTTTTAACCAAATTTTATAGATTTTATTCTGTCCCACTTAGTGTGATTAATTTAATACAATTAAATTAGCTATACATTTTTAGATACCTTTGGTAACGATAAGATATTTTCTTAAAAAAATATGATTTATGATTCCTGACTAACTACTTTAATACACCCTTGGTCCCCCTGAAAACACACTAAAATCGATGATACGTTGGTTTACTAATTACAATTAATTTACTACCACTTGTCTTAAAAAAATAGAGACTAAGTTTCCTGATCTTCCCCTTTTCTTTTTAAGAATGCTGAAATAGTTTGGCTCAATTTATGGCACCCAACTTACAGCTCTAAAAATCCCCGAATGCATTTAAGCCAAGACATTCGCTTACCCGCTTTCTCGATATACTCAAGGCTTACATGACTCTTACCCACTAATGTAGGAGGTGATGGCAAAATAATTGTCAACTTACCTGGAAAAAAGAGAGAAAAGAAATGTACGATTATTATTAAGTTATCAAGAGGGTAGACTGTCAAGAAAGAGTGGTGTGATGGCTTAAATATACGTGTGACTTTGAGGTGACACTAACTCATTAGCGTGTGCAAAAACTGATGATCCATAAGACTGTCCGTCCTATTAATGGAGCCCGGTGGATATGCTGTGTTCTTGCTCGAGCTACCACCATTGACGGCGCCCTTGATATTCGACCCACTAGGGGCGGTGCCCTTGATCGAGCCACGATTGGCGGCCCCCCCTTTGGTAGTCGAACCGCTGGGGGCGGTACTCTTCATCATGCTAGTATGTACGCCGCTCTTAATCGAGCCACGGTGGGCGGCGGCCTTGACCTTAATATCGCGGTCCGGAGGACCCATCTTTCCGTACTTATTTTGCATATAATTCTATGATTACGATAGCTTTTTATTGACCTTTTAGGGATAATGAGGAGCGCCGTTATATTGGATACTTGGGAGGCTAGTGTTAGGACTACAGATTTTGAAGATAATTTTGACGTATAAATCGGAGTGATTATTTGTGATTACTTTTATCTACGAAATACGAGCAACAATTTCCATTGAAGTTCAAGTTGAGATAAATAAACGGAATTAAATGTATAATAATCAAATCAAATATTATCCAGATCCTCTAACCTACGATGATTTCAAGTCGAACTAGTTTTAGTGGAAATACAACATTTTTTTTTTTTTTTGTAATTTGTATTACAAATGAAATTAAATTGAATAGAAATTTTTAAGTGATTAAATATAAGGTTGTGCAGAATTCTTCAATAATATTCTAGAGGTCTGTGCCCTTGCTCGATCTTATTTCTGTCGCTCGAAAAGAATTTCGTATCATATTATTAACGTATAGATTTGTATACAATATTATATATTTAATTTCTTTATTGTATTTTCCTCTGTGTTTCGTCAATTACAAACAACATTGATAAATTATGGATTGTGGATTTGGACCAGCGCCAAGTGCACGCAATATTAAACCGAAAACAGAAAAACGCATTTGGGGGTCGCCGATCGCGAAACAAGAAAAGAAAAAAAAATAAATAAATAAAAATAAAAACAAAGAAGCAGCATTATAAATTATAAATAAAAATAGCAACATTTAATTGCATACGCGAATTACATAAATATTTATGAGGGAAGCAGAGACAGCAACAGCAGGCACAAACAAAAAGCAACTGCAAAAACATCGAAGATCGCCGCCGCTGCATTTGCTTTGGTATGCGCACCACCGTACCGCTCCACCTATGCCCTCCCGCTCCCCTCTTGGCATCCACATATGTGGGTCATTATCTTGTTTACGCCGCAGTGACGTCGATGACGCAGCGCTGCCAAGGCGAGCAGCGATGCTAACAGCGCCGTCAACGCACCACAATGATCGAAAGAAAAAAGAACGTAGAAATGCGCAAGAGAGCGGGGAAATTAATCAATTACTGCGTTTATGCCAAGAAAATTCAAGATTTAAGCTTATTTTTATTGTAATTCATATGTATGTTTGTATAAGAATATATGTAAGTGTGTCAAGGTCTAATCGAAGACAGAAACAAGTGTTGATTTCATTAACTAATAATAATTATCAAAATATTATCAATACAGATATTTTTTATAGTTCTGACAACGCTCATTACACTCCATAAGTGTACGCAAATTGACTTCTACCTTGTTTTCCAAGTTGAAATACTTTTAATATTGATTTAATGCAATCAAATTCGCAATAAACGTGCCACGTGGAATACATTTTGGGGAGGAGGAGTCAATAATGGCGGGGGAAAACTTTCAAGATGGCTTTAGGCATTCCAGCTAAACCGCAGCGAGCGACTGACCAATGACACGAGACAACTGGAAGTGCATTCCAGGTGCAGCACAGGGAAAACCAAATGAAAATCGAATAATGTACACATTTTGATTTCATTTAATTTGCAAATTGCAATGCCAAGCAAAGCCAACGAGATGATGGCTTCCACCTTGATCAATTAGTTAACGATGATTCATTGATTGATTGCTTTAACGAAAGTCATAAAGAAAACTTTTCAACCGTTCTCAATGATTTCGGTGGTTTTAAAATTATTCTGATACAATTAGCATACAGCATTGTTTGTTATTATTATTATTATTTTTTTTTTTAAACCTATTGCATTTTAAGTTGAGTAAAATTAAAAGTCAAAACCATTTAAAAATTATATTTTATACACTTTAAAACAAAACTATATACCTAAGAAGTAAGTATTAAATGTGCTGACTATTTAAAAAAAATTAATTTTCAATATTTTTAAATATTGTGTCTATTGTACTATTTATTATTGTATTTTAATATAATGCTTTTTAAAGTAATATTTTAAACGTAGAATCTACCCTGCCCTACTACATTTTTCACTATTTAAATTCGCATAATAATTTTCCATTTCCTCGTTGGCTATTTTTAACGCCGGGCGTGCAAATTGGATTATGATCCATTTTGTTAAATTATTAATAAATTATTAATTATATGTTGTGCTCTATTCGATATTTTTAGATATCCAAATGTGTCGCTTGCTTTTGATTTCTGTTTTTACAATCCAATTTTCGCGACAGGTGGAGAAAAGAAGCAGAAGAACCGCGGAAATAGAATACATTTGGTATTTTTGTTGATTTATTGTTTAAATTATATATTTAAATTTTGAATGTGAATTTTTTCTAGAATATTGTGTTAATTTCCAGCGAGCAGAATGATTATATTGATAAAATTAATATCTAGTAATACTACAGAATATCTTTTGGGTTATTTCGGTTATTCTTTTTTTTATGCAGTCAATAAAGGGGGTTGGCCATATTAGCGCCTTTGATTGGGGTAACTTTTTTCTAATTAAATTACAATTGTTTCTTAGTATTGTATGTATGTGTGCCTATTAGAAAGTTATAATTTTTATATATTTATTTAATAAATGTAGAGAAGGCCTTTTTGGTGATATTTTTCGAGTAAAATTTCCTTGATTTAAATTGTTATTTTTCCCCCATTTTTGTTTGTTTATGTTCTTTGCATTTTTCGAGGATTTCCTTAGAAAAAAAGTGAGAGTTTTATTATTTTATTTTTTTTTTTTTCGTGTTACCTTCGAGCAGGGAGCCGCGGTTGATCAACATGCTCGATGTCTTGAGCAGCCAGCAGTAGAAGCGAAAGAATAGAAAAACGCTGGGCAGCGGCGACGCCACTGTCGCGGTCGCTGTCGCTGCCGCGGTCAAAGTCGCTGTTGCAGTCGCAGTCGGCGTCAGCGCGGGTGGGCGGCCAAAAGAGAGAGAGAGCGGGAGTC